AAGTCTTCAAACTCTGGCTGTTTTCCACTGTTTACTGCCCATCTCCATTTGTACTAACATTACTCCTTAACATCTGATTTGAGCTTAGTCACCATCAACACTTTCTGGCTCTATAAGAAGCCCTGGGCAACTTCAGGGGAGCTTGTATCATACCGATGGAACCCTATCCTATCAAGGACAACTTTCAAACTAAGAGCCCAAATCAATAAATTGACTTCAACTATCCACAAAAAAATACAACTATTTGTTCCTCATCATACGAACAAAAAGAAAAACTCCAGTTAGAATTCACTGTTTTAAATAATTTACCCCATGAATTTAAGCTACAGCAACATATTTCTAACATCATGGTGAAATTAAATATTGCTCAGCAAATTGTCTAATTTAAGTCTTCCCCAGTGAGATATTCTGACATTTGCCCCAAATCACTATAACATCACGCAATAAAGGACTGTGAAATCCATTTCCTATTTTTCTACATCCTTTTTTTTAAAATGGTATTTATGAATACCCTGAATGGTAACAAATAAAAACTCTAATTTTAAAATAAGTTTTCTTTCCAAATCTATAAAATCACTTTAATATACCTGTCTATAGAAACAGGCTTAGGAAAAAAAAAAACCCAACTCTAAGAAAAAGCAATTTATTTGCTGTCATGGCACAATTCCAAATCAAAGTTTTAAACTTTTTGATGTCATGGAAAGGTTACATTTTATAAAACAAACTAACAAAATGTATAGATGGTCAGCAAGCAATACAATTTTGATAATTTGTGTAGAGTCAGTGATGAAGCGAACTATATTTTGGATTTCAGCCAATCTCATGCTAACTGATTCCCTAATTGGGACCTATTATTGCAAGATCTACAATCAATCTTCCCTTCTTTTTGTATTTTTCCCTACTGAGGGTCCAGTAAAATAAAAAAATTTTCTGCCTAAAAGTAAAAAATACTAACCTTCAACTATTTACTGTTGGACTAATGGAGTTATATATTTAATTATGGCAGAACTGGAACTGTATTTAAAAGTAACCACATAAAATTAAAATACAGTAAAACTGGCTATAGAAATCCTAATAAGTTTTCATAATTTGAAAAATGTTCATCCACATGACATTTCAATAACCCACTCTGAGCCTTAGGTCACAAAAACAAGTAACAAAATGTTTCTCAAACATCTATATCTGTTCAACTCAATCCTAATGCTACAGCACTGCTTTTATTATTCCTGTTTTTATTTATTTAAAAAATTACACAATACATAACTTTTGCAAAAAAAAAAAAATTAATACATAGAAGTATGTAATCCAAAAAGTGATTCTCCAACTCTACTCCATGAGAGGTAACTCCAATATTAAAAACTGGTTTGGGGCCTTCTAGATTTTCCTATACATATATAAACACATTCTGTTTTGTTCTGCTTTATTTTGTTTTGTAACTTAATTGGGATACTTTACATATTGATCCGTAAGTTGCTTATGTTTGTGTAACGTACTGTAGGCATCCTTCCATGTCTGCACTTAGAGACTGACCTCATTGTCCTTAATGACTACATGACAACAGCATTAGGTCATTTCTCACCACATACCTCTAAGGTGGGTGTTACTACTTTTTTCTTGTTTTACAGAAGAGGACATGAATGCAGAGAGGTTAAGTAATTTGTTCAAGGTCACACAGCTAGTAAGAGGAAGCATAAGGCCCCAAATCTCACTATTTTTACTCCAGAGTCTGTGCTCACAACTGTTACACTATATTCCCATTGAGAGCCCAGATTTAATTAACTGGTTCCCTACTGATAAACATTCCCTACTCTTTCTACTTTATGTTGCCTGCTTGCTTTTTCCCCCCCTATTTGATTATTTTTACATGTGGGATTTGTTCTGCGTGGGTAAGAATTTAATCTTTTTTCCCAAATGGGAAACTTTA